ACATTAATTTTATATAATCATCAATCGACAAAAATTTAGAAAACCCGCTTTCTCCTCGAATATCCATCATGTCATCGTTCGTACACCTATATATTGAGAAGGTATTAGTTATAGAATTAAAAAATATATCTTAGAAATTCAAATACTTACGAAAATAAGTTATTTTGCTGGGATTTTTTATACTTTATAAAATGTGGAATAAATTCCCCAAAGTACTGTTCAATGCAAACCATTTAGTATTTACTATACGCTTTAAAAAATTAGCATCTTCAAACAACATACCTTGGACTCGTCCAGCTTTGCTAAATTCATAGCAGATATCCTTAGTATATTTTCGTTAATTGATACTTCTGAGTCGTATGTGTTACTGACAATTTGATGAAGGGGGGGTTTGAAATCCGTCTGTAAAATAAATTAGTTTCAAGAACAGTCTTGTTTAGATAAATATGAAGCAAAAAAAGGGTTATTACCATCAAAACGCAATGTTTTCATTATCAACATAATCAAAAATCTCTGGTGACAGTTCTTTCTGAAGGTTATCTATTCCCTCCTCATCAACCGTCTTAGATTCTTCATCTTGTTGATGACTTGCAAGACGTTTTTCCTGGTTTTTCGTTAATTGATTTCCAATAATTTCGTTTTCATTTTCATACATGACGTAAGTTTTTCCACGGCGTTGGACTCTGATTCGTTCCTGCCACATACCGATACAAGTTAATCATAAAGAAATCGATAAAAGCTATATTCAATTCTTTTAATATACCTCATGTCTCATTTCAATAATATTATTCCAATCGGGTGTCAACATTAATCTATATATAAATATAATTAATAATAGGTTTCTCTAGCAACTAAGTAACTAATAATTAATCAAAAAAAAAACTATAGAATGTTGCAATTATCGCAATGATGGGGCTGAGGGCGACACCTAACTACCCACAGTTACAGGGCGAAACCTGATTGGGATGCCATAGATGCAGAAAATTAAAACATTCACACCTCCTTCACATTAAGTATTTCTGCAGTTGTTCTAAACCGTTTTTTCCATGCGCCATCTAAACTATTAAAATCGGTCC